ATCTCCTTCCTGCTTCCTCAGATTTGATGAATATTGGTGTTACTTATAAATATTATAGTGGTTGGGTTTCAATTGTACAGTAGAAAGACTTTTTTTCCTCCTCTGAGAAATTCTCTTTGTTTTTGCAGTGCTGGGGTTGAACATGGGGCTGCAAGCATGTAGGCAAGTGCTCTACTGCTGAGCTACTTCCCCAGCCCCATTTGAGGAATTCTGATATCATCAACAAATATAAATTTCTCCTTATTAGTTTTTTCTGCACCGATAAAATTTAGTTTCATTTTGAGCAATTGGTGAGTCTGAAGACCTCGAAGTATTTCCCACTGCATTTTAGGTATGAAGATAAGATTTGTTCTTTACTTTGTGAATTTGTGAAAAATTACAGGTTGCTGTCACGCTCTGGTATGAAAGGTGAAGCTCGTATTTTCAGATTGTGTGTTGATTCATGGACAGAGAAGGATGAACTGTTAAGGCACTACTAGGGGCCACACGTAACTCAAGACATCTTCTTATGCAGTACTGCATAAGAAGATGTCTTGAGTAGGAGTGGCCCTTATAATTGATGCAAAACAGATAATGTGTCAGGAGTGGTGATGCAGCTTGGGAGGCCGAGGCAAAAGGATCACAAGTTCCAGGCCAGCTTTGGCAATCTAGTGAGACCCTATCTCACAAGTAAATAAAAAGTGCTGGGGATGTAGCTCAGTCGTAAAGTACCCCTAGGTTCAGACCCCAGAACCACAAATAAAAGAAAACAAAAACTGATAATGCTGCATAGAGCATGACGTGCAAAAATAGTGACATCCAGCCAGGGAGGAAGAGAAAGGGCCTTATGCCTAGAGTTCCTTTTAGGAGAAATATTCTGAAACTTGTATGCAAATTTGCTGGTGAACATAAACTCTTGGCTCAATTGCAGGGAGAGGTGGGGCTGTCATTCTGTTTCTCCATCTCCTTCTCTTGTGACCAGTGCCATTAAACTTGGAATGATTGACTTAGATAATAGAAACAAATCCAGTATTCTGTTGTATTGGATCTATAAAATTTTGAATTTTTCTTCAGGATCTTTCTTGCTGTCATGTGAACATGTTGATAGTATCACATGAATGTCACAATATTGATCACCATGACTACCTGTCTTGGAAACTGACTAGAAGTGTCAGAGGCTCATGAACTCTCTGCCTGAACAAGCCCTAATGAAACCCGATGGTGCGAATGTCAAGGGAAACTGTGGGTTTATCATGGGTTTATGACAAGATTGAAGGGGGCCATACTCGCCACCTCCAAGCCTGCCATATTGGCCTGTTATTGACAGAAAATACATTAATAAGGAGAGAAGATGATGAGTTATTAACTTTTTCTCCCTTTCTTCCATCACTCTTTTTGGCCTTCCCCCCCCCCCTTTCTTTCTTTTTTGATACCAGGAATTGAACCCAGGGGCATTTAACCACTGAGTTACATCCCCATCCCCTTTTTTTATTTTAAGACAGGGTCTCTCTGAGTTGCTTGGGGCCTCTCTAAGTCGCTAAAGCTGGCTTTGAACCCGTAATCCTCCTGCTTCAGCCTCCCTAGCCACTGGGATTACAGGCCTGCATCACTGCACCTGGCTATTATCTCTTATTAACTTATTAGTGAATGTTGGATGGCCAGTTTGTGCATTTTAGCCTTTTTTCCAAGATGTAAGATAATGTTTTAAAATAATTAACTACATTTAAAGATCTCCCTCATATGTGAACACCATTGGCAATGCAAATTGTTTATGCCAGTATAACCCTCATTAGTGACCAGCAAAAGCCATGATTTCTTTGTTTCAAACACAGTAATGAATGTGTAGACTCGCCTATGGAGACAAGAGGCCACCTTAAAGCTGCAGGCACTGGAAGCTCTGCTTGATCCTACGTGGCCAACACTTCCATTGTGACTATCTTCTCTCTTGCTGCCACCAAGTACTGGTGCTGAACTAGATCCAGGCCCCTCTGAAGTGATGTGAGTGTAGTATTTTCCAGAGCCACAAGACTGAACTAGAGCAAGACAGGACTGTGGGACTCTAAAAAGCTGGCTCTGATACACAGCAGCTCTTCTTTACTAGCCAGCCCTGAAAGAATGTACAGGGCTCCTGTGCCCACAGAGCACCTCTGCTGCCCAGCTCATCCCCTATCCTGACTGCAGGCTGTGATGGAAAGCAGCAGTGTTGCCCCCAAACCTTGATTTTTAAAAAAATTCACAGACATGACTACACATGTAGTGGTCTTCTGATCTTCTGGTGAACACAGCAAGGAGTGAGGGGCAATGCATTTTTGAGCAGAACTTTCAAATACTACAGCCGTCTTTTACAGAAAATTTCTCCCAATCCATGTGCTCTGACCTTCATTTGTTTTTCCCCTCTTCTTTCAAGGACCAATATAAGTTTGCAGGTAGTGGATCTTGGGTTTCCTCCCCACTCACAAGTGCAAGTGTCTAGGGCTTTGTTTCAGGCCCTGGGAGGAACAGTTGTAAATGCAGTGTGACTCACTTGACTCCCACTCTCTGCTTCTGGTTCTGATTGGTCGCCACCTTGCTCTAGCCATATGGCTGAAGAGTACTCCAGCCTGCATCTCTCTCTGGCTCTTCCCTGCTGTGGCGTATAACTGGGAGCAGGTTCTGGGCTTTGTCTCTTCCTTCTGGTCCACTTGAGTTAGGCAGTAAGTAGGAGAGCACACTGTGTTTCCTAAGGATGGCTGTAGAGGAGGAAAACACTCTGTTCTTTTGTGCCTGGTACAGTAATTATTGTTTCCTATGCTGTTTTTATTCAAGAGGGCATTTTGTTTGTTTCTTTGGCAGTTGTCACATTTGTGTTGTATTATTTCCTCCTGATCTCTCTCTCCTGTTTTTGTAAGCGTTCTTAGACTCCCCTTTATCTGCTGATGCTGCACTTTAGCTATCTTGCCAGTGTTCAATGTCTGATCTGGGGAGGAGGACTGAGAGCAACTTTAAGTTATTATTTCATTTGTAAACATCCAAAAGTTATGGCAGGGTCCACACAATAAAATCTACATGTGGTGCTCAAAGTCATCTGCAACACTGCTACTATTACTTTCATTCTTATAAACTGTAACAGTTCAATTTCTCTGCCTTTTATTTTAAACTTGCAAAATAAAATTTTGAAAACTCAAGTTAATTTTTATAAGTGTTCGATATTTTATTAGTTTGCATTTTAATTATTCCACAGATGGTTTTGCAAAGACTTTGGACTCTGCATTTTAAAAAAATATATTTATTCAAAGAGGCAGTGATAGTAGAATATAATGTATAGGAGAATTTTTTTCTCCCCCCAAATTGGCCTTTATATGACATTTTAATTGTCTAAAGAGAATCAATAATGAAAATTTTAAAAATCTCTCAAGAATATATTTTGTATTGATTCAAAGTTTTTAAAAACCCATTTTTTAATATTGTAATGTTTGAATATGTTAAGTGAGTAGTCTGCAGGTTTGAATTCTTTAAAGTGTGTGGGTGATGAAGTTGGTTGGAGCCATAGTAGAAATTTGAAAATTAATCTGGCTCTTCTGGTTTCATTTAACCCTTTAAACCTCTGTTGCTGGGCTGGGGATGTGGCTCAAGTGGTAGCGCACTCACCTGGCATGCGTGCGGCCCGGGTTCGATCAGCACCACATACCAACAAAGATGTTGTGTCCGCCGAAAATAAAAAATAAATATTAAAAAAAAAAACCTCTGTTGCTGAGCTCAACTAGCACTTTCTTTATCTCCATTCATAATCTGTACTGGAAAATAACAATCTTTTGTTTTCAGAAATAGTACACTGAGCTAGTGAACTCACTTAAAAGTGTGTGAGAGCAATGATGTTTATCCTTTCTTCCAGCCATGGGGACAAGGGAGCCAGACCCCAAATCTGGCCTCATATGGTTATGACAGCATATAGTCTCTGAGCCATTTACTCGTCTTCAGTCTTGTTTCTTCACACACACTAAGAAAAGGATGTGGACATTTACTCAGCAGCATAGTTCTCAGCGTAGAGTACAGTTGTGAACAAACTTCGTTCTATTGAAATGTATGACTCTAGGGCCTGGGGATATAGCTCAGTGGCAGAGTGTTTGCATGTACATACAAGACCCTGGGTTCAATCCCCTGCACTGCAAAAAGAAAGAAATGTATTATTATAGTAATGAAGATAGCCAAAAACACACTTTTAAAAGTTTGAACAAGGTCTAGAAAATTCAAGAAACCTTAATTTTAAATTTTCATTCCGTGTAGTCAAATCCCTAGACTGTCTAACCAAATGGATTTCTACAGATCCTGTTCTAGCAAAGAAGTTCTACCCAAGAGTTACATATTTCAGTAATTTAGAATGTCTAATGTTTATATTGTATACTACTGGAATCATGGTTTATTTGTTTTAAATGTGTTTAATGTTTCAAATTGGGATAGATACAGGATATTTATTTGATTAATAAAAATTACTATGAGATCTCTTATATCAGATGCAAAATAATGTGCAAATCATAGTTCTGAGTACTTTGTGTATATTAGCTCACTTGTGCTTGTAAGTACTTACTGTCTCCTCATTTTAGATACCAGGACATTAAGGCACTTGCCCAACACTGTGTGGTTGATAAGAATATAAACTGAACTTTGAATTGAAGCAGTAAGATTCCAGAGGCATGCTGTTACTGCTATGCTGGTCAGCCCTTCCAGTCTTACTTGCTAACCTAATAGTAGTCAAGAAATCTGAGCTCTGCGACATGATCTCTTAGCTGTTTTTAAAATCTGCATGCCTTAATTTCCCTTTATAAAAAACATTTCTTATACCATTGGTTTCATATTAATGATAATGACTTTTATGTTCTTTGAATTCCTTGTTTGTACAGTCTATGTAATTATAGATGTTACAAGTTTTAGATGAAACTAGTATGGAAAAGATGTCAGAGGCATATAATTGCTGTGTTTCCATGCAGCTAACAGAACAGCATTCTGATAGATTTTTTTTTTTTTTTTTTGTCTTCATTTGGTAGAAAAGAGTAGTTGAACAACTACGGAAGAACCTGATAGTAAAGCAAGAACAACCAGACAAGTTCCAAATACAGCCATTGCCACAATCTGAAAACAAACTACAAACAGCACAGCAGCAGCCACTACAGCAACTACAGCAACAACAGCAGTACCACCACCACCACGCCCAGCAGCCAGCTGCACCCTCTCCCAGCTTGACTGCTTCACAGGTAAAAGTATAGATGTAGGCTTTTTTTTTATTTTATTTTTTTTGGTAGATTGGTTGTGATTGGTCATGGAGAACAGGATTTGTGTCAGCCATTCTAAGCTCAACTAGCAGCACTAAACAAAAGTTCCTGTGGGGTGTGGGTTGTAGTTCTGTGGTAGAGCACTTACCTAGCATGTGTGAGGCACTGGGTTCGATTCTCAGCACTGCATATAAATAAATAAAAATAAAAATATTTTAAAAAATAAAAAATAAAGGTCTATTGACAACTAAAAAAATTTTTTTTAAAAAGTTCTTGTTCCATTTTTTCTTGAAATTCACTGGCAGGAAGAAAGAGGCAAAAGTTAAATGACCTGTCCAAAGAAGGGAGAAAAAGTCAGTGACAAAGAAAACTCCCTTTTGTGAATTCTAGGAGAGTGAAAAATCTTATTTTGAATTTCTGGAGGTATTTGTTTGCACTTATTCTAAAAGTCTGGCCTCTTCTGGAATTGTTTTTCTGGAAATTTAGCAGGTAGGCTTGAAGCTATTCTAGAATAGTGCTCTTAGGTCCAGGTAGAAGCATTCAGAAGGACTATGTTAGCCAGCTCAGTGGCACTCACGTATAATCCCAGCTACTCGGGAAGCTGAAGCAGGAGGATCACAAGTTTGAGGATAGTCTGGACAACTAGTGAGACTTGTTTCAAAATAAAAGGGTCAGGGTATGTAACTCA